GTTATGGTTGTTCTGTCTCATATACTCCCCTTTGCTCAAGTTATTAGATTGAGGACCAACTTAAATGTAATGTATTCACAATAAAAACCCAAACAAACCCACATGTTCTGTCCCCAATGACACTGAAGCAGCACATTGGTAAATACCCATTTTGAAATGCCTTTCACAATAACGTGCAAATTACATACCTTGTACAACTCACAATTTAGAATAGGTTTGCAGTGCTTTCAAAAGACATTAAGGCTATTCCTGTCAGTAACTACTTTCTATATTTTTCAAGAATTTTTCAAGAGATTGTCTGAAGGCTCTGTTAGTGCAAGAAACTTTATCTGTCGAAGTGTTTTAAACTGACAGATTGCTAACACAAATTCATTATATTCAAATCTTAAGTAAAATAATATAGTCTAAAAATAATTACAATAAAAATACATTGTTAAATAAAAAAGCCACACTCCTAATGTTTTTTGCTTCCTAAAGATATGTGGGAATATCCACTGAGATTCCCAGAGAGGCTCTGATCCTGGTACCTAGCTACAGTGCTATTAACAGGGAACAGAGGCATAATGAGTCTCTGTGAAGTCTTAAAAGCAGAGCTACAAAGAAAATCTGGAGAAGAACAAGAGGTTGAGTCAGGGTTTCTGAAGTATTCTGAGCTTTCTTTCATTTTATTTAAACAAGTTGAAGAGTATTTTTTCCACATATGTTTAAAATTGTTTGTAACTGATATCAGAGGACTCTGATTCTGATAAATTATTTCTGCTAAGTGTAAGTACTTGGTAAAGAGAAAGATTCAAGTTAGCTCAGCAATAATTATTTTATTGACTTTTGCCTATAATATTAAACTCCACTGCCTTACTGAGTGACCTTTAAAAAAAAATTGCAATACACTTCAGGCCTATGTACAGTTTCTATTTTGGGTACAGCAGGTAACAAATTAGGATGAATTTAAAAATGTTGTGCTGTTCCCATGCTCCACCTACTCAAAGTAAGACTGAAAAGATCCTCTGATAACTGCTTTAAAAGTTTCCAAAATTTGGAATTTGCTCTTGATTTTAAGACAGATTCTAAGACATGAATTGTTGATTTTCCAGTAGTAACCTCTTAGCTCAGTTATCCTAGCTAGTAATCTAAATCATTGAAATTGTGTAATGATGGACTTTCTAGACATGTCTTTAATGATAAGGTATAGTTATTGCTGAGTAATGAAGGACTGGCCAGTGGAAAATGCTGGTGGAGCTACAGCTGTATTTCTCACAGGACACTTTTGTTGCATCACTTCACTCTCATTCAGTCAATGACAACTGCTCCAAATGCCTATTTGAGCATTTACTCCACAACTGCTGCTGCTATTCATCTGCAATTCATTCATAACTAATCTGTAAATCCCCAGCCCCTTTTCCTTCTGGTCTGTCCATAAGACTTCCCAAATGGACACATATGATTAGACCTAGTGCAAAGGTAGGCAGGTTATGCCTCTACAAGGTTCTTAGTGCATAAATGCATTAAATATGCACAGCCTATGCAGCAGGTACTTGTTAATGTTATTTTTGCTGTTGGTGTTAATTTGACCAATTTATTGTTCTTTCTGTCTTCTCTTCCATAGTTAAAGCTTTCCTATCAAGGCTTCTTTTAAATTACATTAAAAACTGTTGAGGAGATAAATGTTGTCTCCCTTGAGCTTTTACAGATTCTAGTTCATTGCAGAGCTGAAGAGGGAATAGACAAAGCCTTGGGACACAGGGGAGGTGGTGTCTCTGCAGCCTGCCCTGGAACATCCAGCAAACCAGAACCACTGTGCTTTTTTTCTTCCTCACATTCCCAATGTGTCTTTCTTGTGTGGGGAAGAATCTGCCACTCTTCTGTTTCTGTGGTTGGCTAACCCCAATTCTAGTCCTTGCTTGAAGAGTCAGAGGAGGTTACTCTGAACAGCACTGCAAAGCGTGAGCATGGCACTGTAGCCATGTAGTCATGTCTGTCCTCCTCCTAGGAGTGTTTGTGTGTTGTGCACCCGGTTGCTAAGACAATCTAAGCAAACTGCACTATGTAGAGCATAATTGGAGATTGATGGTACTGCAGAGGTGTAAAAAAACAGGTGGGAGTTGATTCTACCTTCTTTGAAGTCCTCTCTTCAGAGCAGGAAAAGATTTCTTACCCCCTGGAGCACCCGTCTAGAAGCACATGAAGTCCCATTGCAAGAGGCAGCATTTATATTTAGTGCACGTGATGAAGTGGAGAGGCAGGGCTAGGGAAAAGGCATGGATATGGGTAAGGAGGATCGAGATGAATTTCAAAAGGTGCTTTGCTCCTTGAGTTATTTGTTACAGATAAAAGTTCTTGTGGATGAGTTTTGCTTTTACTAAGTAGATGAGTGGGTTTGAGTGACAGCACCTAGAAGAGGAGATTCAGTGCTGAAAGAGCTGATGTAAATGAAATATCATCTTCATTCTCTGAAATGTTGCTGTGAACTGAAGAATTGCTCTTCTTTTGGAAGAGCTGTTGATTTTTTACTTCATTTATGGTTTTTTTTAGTGTGGCCACAGTGCACAAAACTGTAAGAGTCAGTCTTGCTGGGTTTATGGAAGCCACATTTATGGATAACTGTTTGCTTGCTTTTCTCAGTTTCAAGGAAAGCCTTGGAGGTTGCAGTTCAACTAATTCACAGTTTTGAATATTGATACTGAGTTTGGCTTGTTTTCAGTTTGCCACCCATCTTTACAGATATTGAAAACTCATTTCTTGGGTCTATTCTGGAAGTGTCATACGGGTTCTCAGGGCTGGTGAATTGGTCTATTCTGATGGATGGACTTAGAAGGAAAATATCGGTCAGTTGACCAGCAACAGTTGACTGCTAGTACTGCTGCTGCCACTGGCTTGTTTGGTGGCTGTGGACAGTAATTTCATGACTCTGTGACTCCATTTTCTTACCTTTAAAACAAGGTGGATTATTTCCTTTGTAAAATTCTTTGAGATTTGCTCTATACCACAGCAAACATTGCTAACAGTAGTCGTATATATTACTCTTTTAAAGCCATAGGAAATATCTGTGATTCTGATTTAGTCCCTGCAATCAGTGGGGGGCCCTAAAACAAATCAGAATTAATAGCTGGGAGCGAGTGGCTGTTGTACAGACATGCCCGCACTCTAGAGGTGCAACTGCAACTTCCACAGGTATGTCCAAACTTACTCTGAGCTCTGTCACTGCTAACGGGGTACCTGTGGTGGTATGGAGCTCAGCATGTGCTGCTGGATGCACCCAAGTAGCTCAGATGCCAGGGTGATGAGCCCACGCTGAGCTCCACACTGCTGCACTGACAGCATGTTGCCAGCATCTCCCCTAGTTAATTTAAAGCTAGCTCGAGTATGTCTGCACAGGCTGCAGTTAGGCTGTGACTGCAGCATAAAAATGCACCCTACAGGAGACCACAGGCAGCCAGAGCTTCAGAAAAAGTGTCTTAGTTACACTTCCAATCAGGCACGGGCTGCTGGCACCATTTCAAATTCACCTTACCTTTGGCTCATCATTCTTCATACTCTGCAAATATGGATCTGCTTTCAAAGTAAGCAAAGGGTTTGTTTATCCTCCTTGCCTGTCATTAATGGTGTTCTAGACTAGATAATACTTTAAAAAAGAACTTAAATGTCTCAATTTTCATTTTAGTTGGCACTTTATCCACACATAACTCTCATCTACCTCTTTTCCCATCCAAAATGTGGAGGAAGCTTTAACATAGTGACAATATTGAGAAGTAGGCACTATCACTCTATTTTTAGAGAGAGAAAGAGAGAGAGAGGGAGAGAGAGAAATCGAGGCAGAGAAAAAATTATCTGCCATGGAAGACAAGGTGGGAGAAGGAACTGGTTCTATGCATTTATTTTTCCTAGAGGAACCAGTGGTGTTTGGATCACACGGACTGTATCAGTAACTCACCAACTCCCAATTGCATCCTAATCCATTTTTTGCCAGGTCCCATTTTTGTACACCTTATACTAATGTTTATAAGAGAAGTCATAAGCACACTTTAAAATGACACAGCAAATTAATAATAAACTAAATAATTCAGTACTGTATGGAACAAGCTTCTCCTAGGATGTATAAGATAAATAAAACATGGGTTAGAAGTGTCTCTGAATGATGATATTGTAGGAAAGGCATCTTGAAAAATCAAGGAATAATGATCCCATCCTTTTGTGTTTTATCATCTTCCTTTCTTAATATATTTACAATATTTGGCTCCAAATTTGATTGCTTATGGGCAAGGTATAAATTGAAAGAGTCTGGTTTTAAGTCTCATTAGCTGCACTAAGTATCAATTCATTTGGCAAAATAATCTCCCAGAAAACAATTTGTGCCAGTTGAACGCTATTTGATGGCTGATTTCTCAAAGATCTATTCTGAGTATAGAAAGGAGCCACATGATTCATTCAGCTTGTGCATATCTATTTTATCTCTATAGAAGGATTATATATGGAGAGATAAAGGTTTGTTAAACAAAGTATCATTAATCACCCTGTCCGGAAATGTAGACTTTGCAGGAGCATGCTGTAATTTGCATCACTTTTGCCATGCCTTGTCAGTGCTGCTGGTGAGAAATAGCAAACCTGTATTTATGAAAAGGACAGATTTAAGATGAAAATAATTCTGTCCAAAAACTGTGAGAATGGTACAGAATCCTGTCGCCTGCACTCGTTCAACGGGAGAACACTGTATTTGTAATAAATTCCTTTTGCTCTGGATGAGTTCTGCATTTTCAATGAGGTTAACTTGGCAACATTCTAGTTGATTTTAATAAAAATAGCTGCTTTGAGGACAGGGAGCTGAGGTTGCCAAATTTACAGCTGCCTTGCACAATTACTCTTACACCTCCTTCAGGGCTACTTAGAACCAGTAAGCAAATTAAGTGTATCGATTGCAATTTTGTTGGACTAACCCTTTTTTCTTAAGGAATAAACTTGATTCCTTTCAGTATGTGTCTGCTCAGAGTGATCTCTTTTCTTTTCAGCCATAACACAAAGACAACATCATGGCTGGATCCACGACTTGCGAAAAAGGCTAAACCTCCAGAAGAGTGCAAAGAAAATGGTAGGTGATTAAGTTTTCCTTGCTGCTCAGAGGGGATTTGCCTTTGTGTGTGTCTCTCTCTTTCAGTTCTTACAAAAATCAGGCATTTGGGGGAATGATGAAAGGTGTTTAATTGCTGCTTTGGTTAGAAGCCATAAGTGATACCAGTTCTCAGTGTGCCATGTGTTTCTGCTTTTTATTCCCCTTTCTGATGCTATCCAAAGCTGAGGATCACAAGTGTGTTTTCTGCCTGTTGTGTGTGTGACTCCGGGACTGACCCTCTCCCTCATCTCCTACAGAGAACTTTGGTCTGCAGAACAGAATCCCTTTTCAGATTCTGAGCTTTTAATCTACAGGCGATTCAATGCATAAGGGAAACTAGCAGCACCGTGGGAATATGAATATTGTTTGATTTGTATTTAAAGGTACAGTGCTATGCTATTTAGTAGCCAATTTAAAAAAATAGTGTCTGATAAAACAGGGTGTGGGAGGGAGAAAAAAGATCAGTGTCTGTCAGAGTTCAAGGCTGGATTTGGAGGGTACTGCATTGTTAATGCTTTAAAATTTAAAAGCGTATGTACTGTTGAGGATGCTTAAAGGAGCTGTAGCTGTTGTGCAGGAAAGATGACTATGTTGACAGATTTAGAAATATGAAATAACACAAATGATATCAAACTATTTTTGCATTCAGTATAATTTCTAATTTTTGTGTGGTAAAGTTTATCACTATTCAAAATCATTTAATAAAGTAAATATAAAAATGTGTTGCAATAGATCTTTTTCTGATAAGGTTTTTTTTTCATTGTTTTATAGTTCCATGTCTGTTCGATAAGTCAGTTAAGAAGTAATGATTTCTAAAGACTGCTACTTATTTTATTGTTGTGAGGTACAGAGTATTAAATGCATGCATGCATGCTATGTGCATTAATTCAAAGTATATTAAAATACTTTAAATGTATTAATAGTTTTTTATGTACTGCATCTGATTTATTTTAAATTTTCCAAAATATATGCATTTGGTTAATGTAATTACTATTAATAGAATGAAAACTCAGGGCTGATAAAGAGGTCACTGAGGAGTCGCTGACTGTATGAATTGCAGGGTTAGTGCTTTGGTAAAAAAGGTTCCTGGTTTTTTTTGTAAATAGCTTTCTTTTCAAAGATTGCTATATTCAAAAAATCCCTTCTTTATTTCAGCAGCAGTTCTGACGTTCTCTTCTGACATCAGAAATTACATGTCTGAATGATTTTGTGATGCTTATTCTAGCACTGACAGCACTAGCTCCCAGACTAAATTCTACAGTGAATATAATAGAACTGTGGTACTGAAACAAAACAAGGGCACAGGAGTTTTGCTTTCTAAATCTCTCATGTTACTTATATGGAGCTGTATCTTAGCCTGCTCCTTAAGAAATACTAGAGGGAAAGGCAGGAAAAAAATCCACCAATATCTATGGAGTAACATGTCAGTTACCTGGAGTATATGTTGGGGTTTTTTCTTCTCTTTTCTCTTTTTCTGTTAGTTGTTGTATACTGAGATCACAACAAGCACTGAAATGCCAAAAGAAGTACCAAATTATCTGAAACAATTTAAAATTAAGATTGGTGCATTAAAGAAGCAGCATTATTTTTTAGTTATTTGACTACTGAATTATTGAATTACTATAGTATGCTGGGTCATGTTGTTCTTTTAAGACTGCTCAGCTCATTAATGCAAAGTACTTAGAGTGATGCATAAAAGACTTTAGGGAGAGATTTTCTATTCTTATAGCAATTGTTCTTGCAACATCCTCTCTTTTCTAAGGTTCTTCTGTTGTTTGAAATTGTCGTTTGTCTTTTTTTTTTTTTTTTTAATCTAATACCTGCAGAAGAAAAAGTTCTTAAAAATCACTGATATGTTTTAAAATGACTGTACCTTGCCATGGAGGTCCAACACCAGGGACTTTCCTATAGCACATGGGGATTTGGAATTTTTGCTTAGATTTAATCTCTCATCAAGAATTAATTTCAGCTATGGCTTGGTAACTGTTTTACGCCAAACAGCTTTTCTGTTACACTTTGTGATTCATTCCGGCACATTTTACTCAGACACACAAAATTTTAGAAAGACATCAGTGTTTAGATAGGAAGTGATACTCACCTTGCTGCTTTATCGCTATCTGAGTAACCTGTGCTTTTCATTGACATTCATTTTGTCACATATGAAATTTGTATTAATTCTCTGAGATACGATGTCCGTATCACCTACCAGATTCTCATATCAAGTTTTCGTTGTGAACAACTTAACTGCTGTGTTCTCCTTTCAATGCAAATCCTGGCAAATCCTCCTTCTTCATTCTACCACCAGCATGCAGCCTCCACACCAGGCAATGTCCACGCAACATACAATATCTGAGTCCTGATGCTCTGAGCTAGTGATCTTGAGGACCCTCTCTGCTCTAGGCATTTTATCTCTTCCACTTTCAGCTCTTCAATACTCCTTTGCCAAATATGATTTCTTCATTATCTCTGGCTTCTGTATCTGCAAATCCCAGTGCTTGCTCATTTCCCTTTGCAAAACCTGAATCAACTTTCCAGCACATCCCTCCTCTTGAAAAATTTTCACATACCTTTGCCAAGAGATTGACAAGCTCTACCAAGTCAAGCTTTCTTTACTTTCATGCTGTGGACTCTTTCTCTTTTCCTTTAATGACACCCACTGCTCTAAATCCTTTTGTAGGTCAGGAGGTTTTAAGGCTGATCTTTTTTGCTGTCTCTCTCATGGAACTTATGTGAGTTTCAGCAAATTACTTTAACTTTTGCTCTGTCAGATCTACTCAGATGGCAGGTCTTTGAAGCAAGAACTGCATCTTACTCTTACGTTTGTATGGCACCGATCTGAATTTCATAATATAATAAGCAGAAATAGCTGGCAATTCTTCAAAACCAGATGCAATTTTTTACACGTTTCTGATTTCCTCCAGAAAATCTTATGTTAATAGAAATAATTGTGTTTTCTCTGCTGAAAATATGAATTAAATATTTGTTTTTCCTGAATTAAAATACTTCTTTTGAATGATTTTTTTTTTCCACCTCAAAATTAGTTAAACAGTTTTTCTGTGAGGAGTACTACAGAAGTTACAGTTCTACCCCTTTTGTTTCTGTGAGCTACATTTGCTGGTTGCTAAATTTTCTGTAAAGTCATATAACATAGCAGACTCACAGGATTTGCATGATTATGGGTATATTATGTGAGTGGTCTTCCAAAGGAGTCTGTTCTTTGGGAGAGAATATGGAAAAGAATGACAAGTCCCATAAGGTAGTAAGAAATGTAGTTTAGTATTGAAAGGCAGTTCAGTTGTAATGACGTTAAATATCACAGGTTTTAGAAAGTTCACTTTTTGTTAAGAAATGTAGCAATTAACTTTTTCAAATTCTCTAATTCGTTTAAGGGAACTTTTATTCTGGAAAAAAATCAACATTTCCTTTGATATCCAATTTGGAGATTAAACAGCTGTTGAAATTTCCTGTGATCAGATATGTCAAATTTCACTTATTTCCTTACAACAGATTTTACTAATTTCATTCTTAATCTGTTCCAAGCAGTAGTCTCCATCCCTCTTAACCCTCCCTATTTTTTGTCAGTTTCCTTTCCCCTATCTCTTAGTTTTCAAATACAAGTAGGCCTATGACTATAAATAAAACTTTGATTTCACCTAGTGTTCATCTGTCATCTGTCTTTCCATCTCCTCCACACCCACCAACTTGACTACAAAATATAGAGGTTTATGTAGGGTGAACCGAGTTGCCTTTGTGTTTCATTGACTGTGAATGTCAGCTCTGCTTTGACAATTAGAGGACACAGACACCTGATTCACATGGAAACACCTGTATGTAGACAGACTGCTGCATTTAGGTGTTTTCATCTGGAACTGAACCCCACCCTCCCATCACATTTTGTCAGGTTATGCTTTTCCCCCTTCCTGTAGTCATAGGCAGTACCCTCTGATGCATTCACTGCTTTCAGTTCTCTTCTTTAGAATTCTCTTCTTCAGATTCTTCACTATGCTGTAGTAAGACATATCAACCTTTTATAGTTTTGTTTTATAGATGCATTTGGCTATAGGCATGCTTGTTTTATGGGTAAAGCATTACTTATTGATTCCCTGACACATATTTTCACTGGAAACCAAGTTGTGAACTTTTATCTTGTATGGATACGATTTGTGTTTTCCGATGCCTGTCCAACTTGTAGCAAATAAACACTTTCCTGTGAGTAGGTTCTTATTTGATTGTAGAGGCCTTGAGTTTGAAAATAAATCTTTCAGCAGTCCAGGGTACAAGGGGCTGTGGGACTTTTTCGCTTACTGGGATGTATCCATATCAGAGATTTACATAGGAAACTTGGACAGAGCACTGCTATACATGGCCAGAAGAGGAGGTGGAAGGAAGAGGAAGTGCCCTCCACTGTGTGAAAAAAAGCACTAGCAGGACATGAGACAACTCCAGATCAAGTCCCTGTCTCTGTTGAAGGAAGGATCCCAATATGAACTGGGAGAGAAGGCTAGTGTTTGGGTTTCATCTGGTGCCATGTGACCCTGAGCACTGTGTCTCTCAGCATGGTATTCTGCTCATTGCTTCCGGCAATTTTTTTTCTCAGTTACTTGTAAAAAGCTTTTTCTTCTTTTCTGTCTCTGCAAACCAGATTAGCCTGTGCAAGCTAGAAAGTAGCTGCTGAGCCTAGGGTATCTGTTGAAGTTATATTTATCTTGCAATATATTTATCTTTGAGATACCTGTATCTCAGCTAAATTTAGTTAAAAACTATAAGAGTAGATTCAGATTTTTACAGAGGAGAATGGTGAACAATCAAACAGTACAAACCCATAAAGTTCATTTCCCCAGGAAACCAAAGTAGAAAGAAATATCATCTTCAGAAAAATAGTTTTTTATTCTTGATGAAAACAAGAACTCCTAAAATTATGCAAGTCATGACTGATATCTAATGCTATGTGCTAGTTACGTTGTGTATTAAATAGTACA